CCAACAAGCACTCCTTCTTTCTGGAAGGAGTGTTAGCTTTCAGGATTCTTTAATGCACAGCTCAAATTCAAACATATTCTCAAGTGAGCAATTCTCCTTCCCCCTCCCAACTTTTTTCATCCTACTTTTATTCTTTCAGTGTTTATATAGGATTTTTGTTCTGTTTTTTTTCATTAAAAGGTGCATTCCTACAATACAGTTCTTTCTTTTTAGGGCCTCTTTCACTATTTCCCTGTACATTTATAAAATCTGTGTAGTTGGAAAATAAAATTACTTGTCCTGCTAATTGTTGTCTATGGACTCACAGACTGATTGCATTTCTCCCCTCTGTCTCAGAGATGCAAGTCAAAGTGTTGGGTCAGCAACCTTTCCATGATTAAATATTCATGCACAAGCACATCTGCATGCAGGACAAGGCAGTAAAAAATGCCAAAAATTAATAGCAGCATCTCTGCTTTGTGAAGCATGTAGAAGCAGAAGTAAAGACTGAACACAGGCCAGAACTGCAGATCAAACACAATGCAAAACCAAAGATACACACTCATTGCACCAGCTTTCTGACAACAGTGCGTTTTCAGAGATGTCTAAAGTCAGCCCACACCATTTATAGAATAAATTTAATGTAGCTCTTTTTGGCCTAGGATCTGATTGGATAGGTTGAATGATGACAGAGAAAACACACACAGAAGGATACAGGGATACACACAGATGGGGTAGATCTTTTCTTCCTGGTGAGATTAATGGGGCGATGTCTAGTAAAGTACTGGTGTAGTTGGTGACACATTTTCAGCACTTAGTAAACATTTGTTAAATAAATCGATGACCTACAAGGTACTGAATGAACCCAAATCTCCTCTCCTCATGTGATGAACCAAGATGATTGCTGGAAAATATAATCTGTAGAGAGGCAGAAGGGTCAATGGCAGTGGGAGATAACACCAAGGATGCTAACAGTACTGGCACTGATGATTTATTTTCTGTCATAAGTTCAGGAAATGGTACAAAATATTCCTTCACAACTTGATAAAAATTTTTGTAGTCAGACACATGTTTTGCCATTTATTAGCTATTATTAATCATACACAAATCACCTAACCCACCTTACAATTTTTTTTCTATAAAATAGGGTAATAACACTTAGTTGGCTAATTTGTTGAAATAATTAAATAAAATAGTATGTATGACATCACCTAATATGAAATAGCACCTTTTCAAGTGCTATTTTTATTTTCTACTCTTCTGATCTTAGACGTGTGCTCTAGGCCAGGAACTAAAGTAGACAGTAGGATAAGTGATGTATTAGTCTGCTTGGGATGCTATAACACATTACCATAGAGTGGGTAGCTTAAATTACAAAGATTTATTTCTCACATTACTAGCAGGTGGATATCCAAGACTAAGGTGCCAGTATGGTTGGGCTCAGGTCAGGGCCTTTATCTCAATTGCTAACTGCTGACTTCTCATTGTATCCTCACATGACAAGAATGCAAGAGAACTTGCTGACCCCTTGTTATAAAGGCACTAATCCAATTAATGATGGCTCCACCCCCGTGACCTAATTATCTCCTAAAGGTCCTATTTCCAAATAATTTCAGATTGGGGATTTGATTTTAGCATGCAAATTTTGGGAAACACAAACATTCTGTCCACAATAAGTAATAAATACAATTGACACAAACCCTTCCCTCAGGGAGCTTATGGTCTGCTGACTGAGATGGTCATCAACCAAACTACTATGATAGAAACACTTGAAAGTGCTGTGAAACAAGGGTACAAGGAAGGGTCGATTTTTTGAGTGAGGTGATTTAATTAGTTGTAGAGGAGGAGGGTGGCAACAAAGGAAGCTTCCCTGAAAGAGTGAGCTAAGGTTCTCAATACAAAGATTCAATAGAAATTTCTTTTGCAGGAGTGGGGGAGAAGGATGGAGGCATTCCCAGGGTCCAGCGTAGTTTTATAAAGACTTGGACACAATGGGGCTTAGAGTTCTTCATTAAATTGAAATTAGTCCACAGAGCCTTGTGAGCCAGAACATGCAAACCCTTTTAAAGCTGTATTAGGATCTGTACACTTTCAACTGTAACAGAAAATTGATTTTAAAAAATGAAAATGGCTTCTTTTACAAACATAATTATTATTTACTTAAGAAATTCAGATGTAGATAACTTCATAGGTATTCAGTAGCTCCATGATAGTATGAAGGATACAAGGTCTTCCTATTCTTCCATTTTGCCAACTTCAGTATTTTGGCTCTTACTATCAAGCTCACATCTCAGGGTCTCCAGATGATTATAGAGGTTCAGACTTCATGTCATTACAGTAGCCTTCAAGGCCAGAAGAAAGGGAGAACGTGGTTCTTCCCAAACAAAACTGGAACCGTCAATAAAGGGAAAAGGGAAACAAAAAGTTTTCTGGGGGCCGACAACCAAAACTGTTGTCCACACCATGTTGAGGACTTTTGTCTTTATCCTTGAGAGACTAAATATACAAACGACAACGGGCAGACCACATATAAAAATAGAACTCTGACCCACAATCTGTAGCAACCAGTCTGGGAAGCCAAACCACAACTTCTATAGCAATCTGCTCAAAATGATTAAGACATAATCAGTGTAAAATTCCCTAATTTTTGCCCCTGATCCCAACCAATCAGAGAAAGCTTGATATGCCAATCACAATTTAGCATACCTCCAGTAACCCTATGCCAACAACTGCCAATCAGAGAATGCTTGAAGCTTCCCTATTTGCCCATAAAGTTTTTACACTTCTCTGCTTGCATTTGAGTCTTTAACAAATGCTAATGATGGTGGCTAACTCCTTTGCTATAGCAAGTTCTGAATAAATTGACTTTGCTCATTCTCATCTGGTGGCCTTTATTTCCATATTCTAAAACGTTGAGAAGATTCTAGAAAACTTTAAGCAAAGAAATGATGTGCCAAGATTGCAGAAAAGCATGAATGTGAAGTGACTAGTTACAAGGTGTAGTGGCCAGGCTAGCTAAGTGCTCTGATAATCTAAATCTCACTGGATTAACAATGTAAAATATCTATTTCTGGCTCACTTTACAGTCTAAACAGGTGTTTCCCGGTGGGTTTCCAAGCAGCATTCAGAGGCGATATATATATATAGTTTGTTTGTTTTGAGTCTCAGAGATCTCCACTGAATCCTTTGCATTCAATGAGAATTTAAAGGAGAGAGATAGAATGTAACTAATTACATGGAAGTTTTATGTCCAGGTCTGGAAAAGATGCACTTTTTTTCCCTGTCCTAATTCCATGTCTCAGATTCAGTCCCATGACTTCAGTCTATCTCAAATAAGGTTTTAGAAATATATTCTTCCCCTGAGCCTGAAGGAAAATGAAGCAAGTTGGTGTTCAGTACCAATACTGGCTCTACCGCAGAAAGCTGTTAGAAAAGCTCAAATCTCTTATATAAAATAGTATAGTATTTTCATATTACCTACACACATCCTCCCATCTACCTTAAGTCATCTCTAGATAATTTATAATACCTAACACAATGCAAATCTTTGTAAATAGTTGTTATACTGCATTGATTTTTACATTTCCATTACTTTTATTGTTAAAATGAATTTAAAAAAAGAATAACTCAGGAAAGAAATGATAGCACCCAGCTAAGGTGATGATATTGAAAACAGAAAAAAGTTCACAGATTCAAGAAATACTTAAAAGTGAAATTTATCATACATATATATATATAATGAATGTTGAGTCCCAAATATGTAATTTGTCATAGTGAATGAATGGTAGTGAGGATCAGAACTCTTTTATTTGTTTAAGTGGAAAAGGCTTGGGAAAGATTAAATGCTGAGAAGGATCTAACAGGAGGAAAAAGAACAAAGGGAAAAAAAAAAAAGGACAAATTTATGTTTCCTAAGAAGATGAAGATAACAATTCAGAAAGTATTAAACTCCAGAGCACAGGTAGAGTCATTGGCCTTATATGGAAGAATCAATGCCAACTTTACCATAATAGAGAGAAAAAAGAGCATACTGCTATAGATGCAGATGGCCAAGGAGCTTTTTGAAGGGGCTGAGTAGCAGGGGAAATAATGAGTGTTCTAATCTCATAGCTTTTACTTTCGTTGACAAGAGACCATGTTCTAAGAGTGAGGAAAAGAAGTAGGTAAATTTAAGGATTAAAGAGAGGACTGAAGAGTTGTTGCACAGTGATAGAGGTAATGCAACAGAGTCTGCTTGTATCCTTTGCTTGCTTCAACAAATATTTTTGAGAACTTATTTGGAAGAAGTGCTGCACATTAGCCATTTTCCCCCTTTCCAGGTTCAACAATTACATTCCGCTCTCCCTCTTCTTCCCCCACCTCTCCAATCCCTTTCCCCCGCACCAGAGGGTTCAGAGATCTGTGTTCTGGGGTTACTACGGAAAGTTTCTAGGTTGTAACTAGGGTTGGGTCTTGAAAACTGCATTAGTTTTGAATATACCCAGTTGAAACAAGCATCCAAGTGCTATGTTCAAAGTGGCATAAATATGGTAATGCCAAAAATGAAACCTAGATTTCTTTGTTCTCTGTTTAGTCCTTTCCCTACTCTTTAGGGCAAACAGAGAACATTTTTTTTTCTTGAGATAACAAATTAGTGGTCAAATCTACAATTTTCCGAAAGTCTACTGGTATTTAAACTTGGCAAAATTCTAACGTACGTGCTTGTTACTTGTTTATTCTGCAGTCAATGAACGCTATTAAAATTCTTTTTGAATTGAATTTCTTTTGTTTTGACTTTAGGTGCAGCGCAAGCTCAAATGACAGCGGCTCTTTTTTCCTAGGAAAAAAAAAAGTTAGTCCTGTCAAGACAAGAAAACTGGAATGTAACCAGATAGTTCGTGTTTCCGGGATCCTATTTGCCCTTAAGCAAGATGGTGGCTGCCTTGTGCACTTGCGCAGAAGAGATGCTTGGGCGGGAGTTCCGTCGCGTCGGGTGTCGCTCCGTGTGGGGATTGGCGGCCTGCTGGCTGGGGGGCGGAACCGGAAGTTCCCGTGTTGTGGGGCTCCGCAGGTTCAGTTCTGGCGTCTTTCCTGCGCTTAGTTTCCAGCTGTCGGTGTTACCTCTGCCCAGGGTGCCATGGGGGAGGCGGAAAAGTTTCACTACATCTACAGTTGTGACCTGGACATCAATGTGCAGCTTAAAATGTAAGAGAGCCCTGGGGACGGGGCATGGGATCGCTGGGGCGTAGGACGTGGAGGCAGGGCCTGTGGGGGGCGGTGGGTTAAAGGAAAGAGAAGATGATGACTGGTCTGAGGCCGGGACTAGGGTGACCGGCTGGGATATAGCCAGGAAGGTGGAGGAGAGTGCATCGTGGAGAGAGTCAGAGTGGGAGGAGGATTGAGGACGTGGCCTCTATGAGGTAGAAATAAGCCTACTTTATGCTTTAGGAATACGTTTTTAAGTGCTACTGTATTTTACCGCCTTTTGTGATTCAGCCTTTGAAAGTTTATTATTATTTTGCAAAGTAAGAAATCAAGTCTTGTCGCACGTAAGGGGAAGATGTCTATTTTAGAATGGGACTTGGAGGGTACAATGGAGGCTTCAGAAATGATGGAGCGATAGACACGGACTGATGGGATGGCTGAGAATAAGATGGGCACCTGGTGTAGTAGAAGCAGCACGGGAGGTGATAGAAGCCTAGGTCGAATCTTTGGGTTGTTGTTGACGTAGGGAAGTTGGAGGTAAGTTGAAGGTGAGGGTGTCAGTTACAAAGGCACCAAGAAAATAGGAATAAAGAGCCTTTGCAGGAACATCTTGGGGGCACCACGGTTAAAATAAAGGCTGAGGACATGCTATCTTAAGATGAGAATAATGGATATGATAACGAGAGATGGGCTAGAGCGAGTTGGAAACATGACCCATTTAAGGTGTTCGTATAGGGGTATTGGTCAGAGCTATCACAGATTACTAACCACAACATTATCTATAATCAGCATTTGTGATGTATGTGCAGTCAATATTCGACAAATATGTTTCAAAGGTCTGCATGCCTGCGATATGTGATGTTTCCTTCTATTTTTGGAAGTCACTTAATCTCTAACAAATTCTTCACTTTTAAATTTGTGCTTGTTGGGCTGCGCTCGGTGGTTCAGCCTGTAATCCCAGCACTTTGGGAGGCCGAAGCAAGTGGATTGCCTGAGCTCACGGGTTCGAAACCCGCCTGGGCAACTTGGAGAGACCTCATCTCTACAAAAAATAAAAAATTAGCTGGGCGTGGTAGCTCGCGCCTGTAGTTCCAGCTACTTGGAAGGCTGAGGCGGAAGGATCGCTGGAGCCCAGCAGGTTGAGGCTGCAGTGGCCGGGTGACCGAGTGAGACCTCAACTCAAAAAAATAATAATAATAATAAACAAATAAATAAATTTGTGCTTGTAAAAATGTCAGCAACCTTTGTAGGATACGTTACACACCCTTGGAAGGTGATTTCTGTCATATACACCAATAGATGTTTATTTTGGATCTATATTGAAAAAGGCCTTTCCTTCAGTCTTGTTCCTCTCAGTATTTTTTTGGACATATGAATGCATTTTTTGAAGCTTTTGAACATTAAAAACAAAGAACCCCCTCCCCCCCAAAACCGGTCCGTTATTAACGTGTACACGGATACACTGAGTATTTTGAACCAGATAAAAGGCATAAAGCAAAGGTTTAGCAAAATGTAATACTAACAGTCTTATAGTTTTGGAGACTGCCATTGTGAGATTTTTGGGGGGTGGGCAAAAAATATCAATTTAGAGTCATATAATCAAGAATAGTGAATTTTTTATTCTATTTACTCCCCTGTGCTTGTTTTCCTGCTTCTGTGGTTTTCATGATCATAAACATCATTCATCAAATTTGTTAACACAGAAAACTTTGAGTCTTGTGACACCTCCCCTTTACCTTCCCTGTTTACAAACCTTTTGCTTTCAATCCCACCTCTCCAGTGTGTTCTTACACTACTGCCAAAAGTATCATAGATATGTATCTGATATGCTATTCTTTCATTTAAAATAATTTTATTAGCAAAGCTTTAAATGTTCATTTTGTGCTAGGCATTCTACTGAATTTGGTGGCTATTTCACATCATTGTCCAGTTCCTGCTTTTCATTCTCGTCTTTAGCTTCTTCCTCATGTGAGCTTTGTTCTTTACCTGTATTGCACAACTGTCCTTTCTCAGACACACCGTCTTGCCTGTTTACCTTTGTATATGCTGTTCTTTCCCTTTGTGATAACTTCCTACCTCTTTTTCTCCACCTCTATGTATAGTTCAGGTTCATTTTAGGCACCTGTTTGGGATACTAAGTCCCTGCCCCTGAGCCAGTTTACATGCTTTTGAGATTCTTTGATTTATCTTGCTATAGTGGGAAGAACACTGGCCTTGGTCTCCTTGTCCTGATTTTTATTCTCAGCTCTATTATTTACTTTGTGACTTTGGATAATGAGTTCAATCTCTGAGTCTCTGCTTCATGATTTTTAAAATGAGAATATGGTGAAAGAATATATAAGATGCCTGTCACAATAACTGATACAATTTTGATGTCCAAGAAATGCTCATACCTCTTTAATAGTCTCTTGTGCATATCTTTTTATGACATGTAACACCATTTTTGAATTTAAAGTAATGATAAGATAATACACATATGTAGTAAAAAAGAAAAATGGAAAGGACAGACTCCTAAACAAATGCAGTTTTATTTTTTTGAGTTGGAGTCTCACTCTGTCGCCCAGACTGGAGTGCATTGGCCGTTCCTGGCCACCGCAGCCTCGACCTGCTGGGCTCCGGCGATCCTTCCGCCTTAGCCTTCTGAGTAGCCGGAATTACAGGCACATGCTACCACGCCCTGCTGATTTTTTTTTTAAATTGTAGAGATGAGGTCTCGCCAAGTTGCCCAGGTGGGTCTCGAACCCGCGGGCTCAGGCAATCCACTCACCTCAGCCTCCCAAGGCAGGGGATTACAAGTTGAGCCACCAAACCCGGCTACAAATGCAGTTAAAGGTAAGTTTTTCTCCCCAGAAGCAAAGACTTCTTGTAACATTTTCTTTTAGCACTGTATTGTTTACTTTGTTTCAGTTCTGGGCCTCTGTTGCTACTATTGTAAATGTTTGCTGAAAGGATAGATAAATTCAAGTCATCAACTTGAAATGAATAAAATGAGACTAAACCTTGGAAAACTGGTGACTTCTAGATGTTACATTAAGAGTTTGTGGCAGAATTTAAAAGTCAGAAGCCTAAAATAGAGAAATATGTTGATGAAGATAGGAATGATCTTAGGTATGGTAGGGTTTTAAGAGATCCTTATCATATGTAAAAGGGACTTTAATTTCATGTATAAGAAAATGTAATCGCTTTTTAGTACTTACACATTTGTATATATGGTTAAGAAATGCATGTCTGGCTGGGTTCAGAGGCTCAACCTGTAATCCCAGCACTTTGGGAGGCCGAGGTGAGTGAGTTGCCTTAGCCCGTGGGTTGGAGAATAGCCCGGGCAACTTGGCGAGACCTCATCTCTACAATAAAGTAAAATAATTAGCCGGGCGTTGTAGCGTGCCCCTGTAGTTCCGGCTACTTGGAAGGCTGAGGTGGAAGGATCGCCAGAGCCCATCAGATCGACACTGGGGTGGCCGTGAGCGTGCTACTGCACTCCAACCTAGGTGACAGAGTGAGACTCCAACTTAAAAAAAAAAAGAAAGAAAGAAATGCATGTCTAACACATTGTTGTTCTTGTGCTTTCAGAGGAAGCTTGGAAGGCAAGAGAGAACAAAAGAGTTATAAAGCTGTCCTAGAAGACCCAATGTTGAAGTTTTCAGGGCTGTACCAAGACACATGCTCTGACCTTTATGTTACTTGTCAAGTTTTTGCAGAAGGAAAGCCTCTGGCCTTGCCAGTGAGAACATCCTACAAGGCATTTAGTACAAGATGGAAGTAAGTTGTTTTCTGGCACATGGTGGTTTCCAGTTGTTCTTCCATTTCTTTATGGCTATTGCAAGTGTGATTAAATAGGGAGTACAGAGGAGTTTCTTAACATCTGTACACACAGATCAGATAGTTTAAAGTAGTAACATACTCAAAGTATTGTGCCTATTAGTATTATAACTGCAGTTGAAATGGAGGTGAATTTGTGTTGGTATTTGGTATATTGACATTTTGATAAACACTTGACTGAAATACAACAGAATCAAAACCAGAAATCTTGTAGCATTCTTAAGTTTCTACAATTCTCTGCCCTTGAACACATAAACACTTCTGGATGGCTTGAAATATTGTCCAGCCTGATGTTTGGAGCTCAGATCTATAGAGAGATCTATTGTCATCTGCTCATATATCATTTTAAAAATTATTTTACATATGAAACTTTTTTTAGGTTCATGATTTATTCAGCATGGTACATGAGCAAAACCTTTTTGGGATGCAGGGTAAATATAATAAGCATGAAGTTCCTGTTTTCCAGAATAATATTGTGGATCCTTAATCTAGCCTCTTGAAAATCTTGATAGACTGTATAGTGCTGTTCTAATGTTTGTTCAGTGAGTGTTATTCAGCACCCTGTTAGACTCAGTGCAGGATACACAGGTTGTATGTACTTATGTGTTCATGGAAGACAAGATGTGGCCACACGGACTGCCCGTCTTTGCCTTTGAGGTTGCAATGCTGTGTATACCAGTCTTGTTCGGTATGGCTGGGAAGAGTTTTTTATAGAGAGCAGGAGCTTGAACTCTGGTGGTCTGGCTATATCAATACCACCTCTTTAATTGGAGTAATTTCTTTGGTAGGCTTTTTGTGGAGAGAGATGTATATATGTAGATACTCATACACGTTGAACATACTTATGCATGTATATATTTAATTCTTTTTTACTCTGGAAAATTTTAAGCTTACAAACACAGAGAGAATAATAGAGAGAATAATACATCCTAAGCTTCTGTCTTTAACTGTTAACTAATTTCTAACTCACGGCCAATCTAATACTTCCACCATTAATTTGAAGCAAATTCCAAATGTTATAACATCTTATCCAAGTATTTCTGTACATTATTTATTAAAAACATAACTATAGTACCCTTGTCACACCTAAAACAAAGAACCAGAATTCCTTAATGTTATCAGAGGTTCTTAAACTGGAATCAGGAAATCTTCAAACTCCTGAAATGATAGGCAAATTTTATTTCTTGTGTGCATATTTTTTAAAGGACAGAGCTCAGACCTTCAGATTTTTTGAAGAGACCTGTTATTCAAAAATAGAGTTGAAGCAAATTTAGATTTAGCAGGTCAAAAGCTATGCTGAATCCCACATTTTTGCCAGGAAAATTGTATAGTGGTTCTCTTCCATGCCTTGGCAAAAAATGAAATTAGAGCAAAAGCAAATTTTTAATTAGAGGAAGACTTAAGTATTTCTCCTCCCACTTGTTAGCTCCTCTTTTCATTACTTTTTTAAGTACATATTTGCAAAGTTATAAAACTCCCATGTTTGTTCTCTAAATGTTTGACTTTTTCTAATTTATATTTTTTAAACTGTGAAATTACTTAATAAGGTATTCTTAAGTTGTTAAAAATGACTTTTCTAAGACAGCTGTGTAGAAAATAGATGGAGAACAGTATTTGTAGTAAAATAACATGAGAATAGACTTAAACTTAAGAGCTTAAGGGAATACACTTGCAGATTTTGTACATCCCGCTCTTTAGTATTCAAAAATTGAATTTATCGTTAACTCATCAAAACAAAAATTACCCTTCTAAAATGAATGAATGCAAAAACTTCACACAGTCGTTATTCTTTATAAGTACTTGCTTAAAAGAAGTATTCTATAAACTGTGGAAAGAAGAAATTTTACCATAAAAATATCTCTTACTGTCCAATTTTTGCATTTCCTTAGTTCAGATAGTATTGTGAAGGTAGTATGAGATTCTCAATTATCTACATCTGAGATTCTGATGGTGAGTGGTGAGAGTTCTAATGATGAGGAATTCATCCTAAATTTCTCCATGTTTATCCTATCCTATCCTACATAAGAGATCCTATGTTGAGTGAAACTTGTACTTTCTTTAATTACACTTAAGTTCTCATTTTTAGGTACATATGTTACACATTTCTAATTTTTTATGTGGCTCTTATTTTACAGGCAGGTCATTTAAATAAAAAAACACACTTATATTCTACCTTGTATCATAAATATCTATTGTAACTTAAAAATTAGAAAGTTAGAATTCAGAAATTCCTTAACCAGACTAGAGAGCACAGTGGTGTGGGGGAATGTGGGAAAACAGGGGAATGTGGAGAGTGCAACATCCAGATTTAGGCTTTACATTCCTGCTGTGTTTTGATCATTGCCAGGTGAATTTAATCTTGAGGTTAATGAGGGTCAGGGTGTGGGACAGGGATGATTCATGGGGAAGAAAACAAAATAGTGTGTTCAAAACACATGGCTTTTGGGAGTTTGATTAGATCTTTTCTAAATTCTAGAATATCTAGAGCAGTTTTCAGACTTTTTGTAGAGTTGGTTTGATTTAAATAAGTGTGATGGCCTGGTGTTGAATAGCATAAGGTTTGAGACATAGGATCAATTGTCTCATAGTTAACTAAAGGACAGAATATAGAGGTGACAAATTTCACAGTTTATTTTACATGTTATTGCTGATTTTTCTCTTTAACTTCAGCCAGTGTTAATTAACCTCTATGTTTGTTTATTGGCAAAAGATGGCACTGTGTAGTATTTTTTTTTTTTAGCCTGCCCTGCCATATGGATGGTAATTAAATAATTTCATTTAGTTACTCAAGCTTATCTGTAGTAGATAATGGCTTTCTTAAGCATGTGTGTGTGTGTGTTTTAAGAACTTCGTAGAAGAAAAGGATTTAATGACTTTCTTGCTTCTCTTTGAAATTGATAGCCATCTTTAATTTTCCTGGAGGTCCATAAATTTATATGGCAGATATAAATGATTTGTTGTTTAAATTTTTGAAAATATAGTTCAGTTTCTTACTGATGCCAATGTATTTTACCCAGACTGGGATATGCACCTTCAAGAAAAGTTTGAATAAACAGAATAATTTTGAGTAAACAGAGAAATAGAATTCTCAGTATCTGCTAGGTATTAGTTTGTGTATTGCTTATATAGTATTCTTTTGGTATTTTAAAATCCATCTGCTATTTAAGAGAGTTGAAATTATCAAATGAATGCAGCATGGTGGCTCAAGCCTGTAATTCCAGAACCTTTGGGAGGCCGAGGGGAGAGCCTTTCTTGAGCCCAGGGGTTCGTGACTAGCCTGGGCCACTTGGTGAGATCTCGTCTCTACAAAGTATCAAGAAAAAAATATTAGCCAGACATGGTAGCATGCACCTGTGGTTCCAGCTACTTGGAAGACTGAGGCGGAAAGATCACCTGAGCTCAGTACGTCAACGCTGGGGTGGCCATGATCGTGCCACTACACTTCAGCCTGGGCGACTGAGTGAGACTCTGACTCAAGAAAAAAAAAAAAAAGAATGTGAAGTTTAAATGCAGAAGAAAATTTGCATAAGAAAAAAGAGGGCAAAAAAAAAAAAAAAGGGTGCTGTTATTAACTGTATTAAGAGCAAATGTTCTTTATTGAGATAATATTTAATGAGACTTTGAAAGCATAGGGCATTGATAGCTAAATGTTATCAGTATTAATAACTTGATTACAGAAAAATCTCACATAAAAAGAAGTCACGTGTCTAAGCAGTCTGATAACTTTGATGAAGTTTGTAGATATCCCACTTGAATTTGTGAGGTTTTGGTTATTTTTTTCTACTTGTTATTCTCAGATGTGCTTTTGAGTGTAATATGAGTAATTTTGATTATTTTATCTTCATAATATAAAATTGGGTTCTGAATAAGTGATTAAGGAAAAAAATATCACAGTTTGGTTCAGAAAGCTCTAACACACTGAAATGTTTTCCCAGGGATTTTTTTTAGCATCATATTTTTTTGTGTCTTAGTATTGTCAGAGTTTCTTGATTAAAGGGTTTATCATTGTAATTTTTCATGAGCTCTATTTAAAAACAAAACAAAACCGTGTCCTCTATATTTAAAATTGAAGTTGTTTTTGGCAAAATAGAGATGACTGCCACATTATTTTTTAGAGTACTCATCTAATCTTTTTGGAACCTTTTCTTTCGGTCAAACTTCTTGAATGGTTGGTTAATTTAAAAGATATATACCTGCTTGTGTTGACTTTATTTCCATAGCTGGAATGAATGGCTAAAACTGCCTGTGAAATACCCTGATTTGCCCAGGAATGCCCAAGTGGCCCTGACCATATGGGATGTGTATGGACCAGGAAAAGCTGTACCTGTAGGAGGAACAACGGTTTCACTCTTTGGAAAATATGGGTAAGCATTCTGTTGGTTGAATCCGTAGAAGTGTTGTCATTTTCTGGCCCTTTTTTCCTCAGGTTTGGACGACTTTACTAGTTTATGCCCAATCTGGTTCTCCAGTGAAAATCAGTTAGGTATATATGATTTGATCATTCCTGAGGCCAAATTTGTCACATATTTCCTATAGGATATGTAGATTAATTAAGAAGCACAATTTATATTACTCTACTGTCAGTGATTGGTAATGTAATTCCTATTAGAAATCATTGGGAATTGACACTTTGCTTTTGGGGGATAAAAGACTATTTGATATGTACTATAACTCTTTTGTTATATGGTTTTTCTGCTTTGTCATAATAGTGAAAGAAAGAATGATAAACAGGATTAAAAAGCATTAAATTGCTGATGATGGTAAGATTGTAATCGGAAAGTTAATTCAGTTTTTAAAAATTTGCAAATTAGAGAAATTTAGTGTAAACAATAAATCTCATAATCCCAAAGGATATTTTTTCTTCTTTTCTCCTGGGACAGAGGGACCATTCTGTCTTTAGAGAATTGGTGATATTCTATTATTCTTTCTGTATTTGTTCACTGGAGTTTTCCCGAAGGAAAAACTTTGTCCTTTATCAAGTATTTATTTTCTTTGGTATACAGTTCACATAGGAAAGGCCAGTAAATGTTTAACTTTCTTTCTCCTTTATCAATTTTAAGAATAATGAGTTTGCACCCTAGTAAGTTTCAGAGGTGATGATTGATGACTTTTTTGTTTTTAACTCTTGTCATGAACTTTTGAACTTAAACATGTTTTTTTTTTTTTTTTGCTGGGCTCCGACAATTCTTCCCCCTCAGCCTTCCAAGTAGCCAGAACTCCAGGTGTATACTACCATGCCTGACTCATTTTTTAAAAATTTTTTTATTGTAGAGATGAGTTTTTGGTAAGTTGCCCAGGCTGGTCTTGAATCTTCAGGCTCAGGCAATTCCACTTGCCTCGACCCCCCAAGGTGCTGGGATTACAGGCCGAGTCACTGAGCCTAGCCTTAAACATGTTTTATACGTGTTAGTTCATTGCTATCTTTACTCTGTATGATGCTCAAAAAGTCTCATTTTGGTCAAGGAGTCCCTTGAAATGTACCCTATGTCCTTTTGACAGTACCCTAGTAGGCCTTGTTAGCTTTTTTGCTTTCTGGTAAATGAACTATTCCAGGTTCATTGGATAATTGTCTGCTCCAGACCTGGAATCTCTGAAAGAAGTTCTGGTTCCTTTCAGTGTAAAATGGTGTAGACCTCAATATGTCTGGGAATTATCAAATGTCTTTTAATTTTTGACTATTTTAAAGTTAAAGCGTATTTTTTTCTTATTTAATTTGTACACGATTAAATAGGAGGATTATATTTTGATGTGTTTATTGATTGTGTTTATATTTCCGTGAATTGCTTCTTGGTGTTCTTTGCCCTTTTAAAAAATTGAGATATAATTCATGTATATAAACTCCTTTGCTTTTTTTTTTTTTTGAGTTGGAGTCTCACTTTGTCACCCAGACTGGAGTGCAGTGGCCGCTCCCGGCCACTGCAGCCTCGACCTGCTGGGCTCCAGCGATCCTTCTACCTCAGCCTTCCCAGTAGCCGGAATTACAGGCATGCGCTACCATGCCCAGCTGATTTTTTGATTTATTGTAGAGATGAGGTCTCACTGCCCAGGCGGGTCTCAAACCCACGGGCTCAGGCAATCCACTCACCTCAGCCTCCCAAAGGCGCGGGATTACAAGCTGAACCACCGAACCTGGCTCCTTTGCTTTTTTAAAGTTGTCATATTTTTAATTGATATATATGAAGTCTTTTTAGATAGATGAAAGTAGTCTTTTCTGGCATATGTTACAAATATTGCTTTTTCTGTTTGGCTTGTTCTTTTGCATTAGTATATGTTTGTTTGCTATTCATGAATCATCATTTTCAGAGTCAATCTGTGTATGAGACTATTTTGGGAATTCTGCAAGAAAAGCATCATTCTGGATTCTCAGTAATTCAGTGTGTCTGGTGGGGTCCAAGAATCATCATTTTAAATAAGCATCCTGAGTGATTCTTTGAAAGGTAGTCTGTGGACCATATTTTGAGAAGCACCGCATTAACCTTTGTTTGTAGTCTGCTTATGTGACTTATGTGTGCCGTTCATTTCATGCATTCTTCTTCCTTTACTCCTTCCCTTGTGCTTGCTTTCCTTGTAATTCTATATGTTCCAGTAGAAGGAAACTTCCTTTACTTGCCATCTAAACCAAGCAGGTGATGTGCCTGAAAGATGAGTTAGTAGCACTTGTTTTATTTAAAAACATAACTAAACCCCAAGGATTTATAAAGGTAATAGTAGCAATAAGTGGGTGTTACTTAAATTTGTTTTCTAGCATTAACTAAGACAAGACTTTGAATCCTAGAAAGCCATCTGTTTTCTCTTAACTATAACTGGAAAACAGGTCATGCTAGTCCTTCATGTCCTGAACACATCAGACATCAGATATAAATGAAATGTGATAGGGGTCAGTACTCTTCTGTGACATTTTCTCATTTAAGGCATGATTTCTCAAACTGGAGTCATTTACTCATGACTTTTAGAATTCCAACCATATTTCTATACTGAATACACTCCTTACTTGATGTTTATATTTAAGCCAGCTCACTTTTTTTTCACTTCCATTTATTTTAAAAGAAAAACTTGTCATAACTGCCGTACATGGAAAAAAAGCATTATTTAGCATTAGTGAATAATAGTAAAACTAGATACAATAGGAACAACTATGCTATTGAATTTTAGAAACAGGAGCAAAAAAAAAAAAAAAAAAATCCCTAATGAAATACTAATGATAGGAGGTTTATTTGATTTGCAGAATACACATGCAATACCTGCAAAGTGTCCTTTAATTTGAATGGTTCTGTTTGTGTGTAGTCAAATATAAGGGAGATACTCAGCTTACCCTTAATTTAAGGCAAAGATATAAGGTTTTACATCAACATTTTCTTTGTTAACCAGTCCTATTCCCAGATGGTTGTAGGATGCTTATCCAGATGATAACATTAGATTTCAATGTGTGTCTATGGGTACTTTGAACAGTGGAGAGGTTGTGCAACAAGGCTCAATCATCATCTCCTAGTTCCTCTGTGTTGGCTCATGTACTGACCTCCACCTTAGAAGAAAGAATTCTAAGAAATCATGTGAAATTAAAACAACTCCTTTCTCTCTTGCCCTGAGAGAGAGTTGGTTACCATGAAGAAAAACCAGGCATTCCCTAGCCAGCCACTGACTTCTTCTATAGCTCTGGATTGTGGAAGAAGATGGTGTCTGGGATGTTCTTGGTGCTGTAGCAGAATGCAAAGATCTGCCTTTGCTGCTAGCTCACAGCTGCTTCTCTGCATGGCACTGGCCATCCAGGGAAAGCAAGCAACATGAGTCTTCTGAGTGTTCTCAGCAGGAGGCGTATGCAGATTTTCTTCCACCTATCATCAAAAATCATGCCATGTGCCACCACTATTCTCAGGACTTAGGGAAATACTGCCTTAAATACATAGTTTCCTCAATTATTTTGTAGTCAGTGAAATAGCACCATCTGCTCCTCACCCTTTTCCCAAAAGTGTTCTGATATATACTTAGTAGCTTTTAAAAGTGGTCCTCGGGCAGGGCATGGTGGTTCACACCTGTAATCCAGCACTTTGGGAGGCCAAGGTGGGTGGATTGCTTGTGTTGAGGAGTTTGAGACCAACCTGGGCAGCATAGTGAGACTTCATTTCTACAAAAAATTTTAAAAATTGCTGAGCATGGTAGTGCACATCAGTAGTTTCAGCTACTTTGGGAGGTTGAGGAGGGAGGATCGCCTGAGCCCAGGAGGTCGAGGCTGTGGTGAGCTGTGATTATGCCACTGGGTGACAGAGTGAGATCTCTATTCAAAAATAAAATAGAAAACAAAACAAAAAAAGTGATCCTCAAAGCACTAATACTGTAGTCTTGGTTAACTTATGACTACCAACTCTTGCTATTTGCTTTTATCTGTTTTGTGCACATGAGTCAGTGTGAATTATAACTTTCTAGAGAGTAGTGTAATTAATAATTGAAAGACCAATGTGTTACGATAAGGCGAGAATAACTTAATGTCCTTAATTTGAAAGTCTAACTTGTGAAATTTCTAAGAAGCTAAAGAATGGATTGATCATTAGGTTGAATTGGCAAGGAACCATTGGCAAGCTGCAGGTTGTTGCTGCAGTTGTTTTTTCTGAATGTAGATTCTGAAGTTGAGGTGGTTGCTGTAGTTGCTTGGCATAGCAGCCTGGGCCATGAGCAGCAGCTGCTGCTGGGGCCTCTGCTGGAGTTGGAAGGAGATCCTGCTGTGCTGTTTCTTCTGGTTTGCCTGTTTGGCTTGATTTCCCAGGTGGACCCGATGCTCTGAGCATCTTCTGGCTTGCCTCCTGGAGCCTGTGTAACTCTCTGCAAGGTTCCATTAGTGTCAGAAGAAAGTAATATGTTCACTTGATCATTTGAGTCACTTGGCATCACCCCTACCCTCCATGTCACCTATCCTTAAATCTCTTCTCCAGATCCACCCCAAGGCACCTAAATCATTTAGTAAACTGACTTCTCGCCAAATGTGCTTATTTTTGATTTAGTTAAGTTCAACCAGCCAAAGTATTCACTGGGGGATAGGAAGGTAGAGGGAGGGAAGGGAAGCCTTCTGCTATTTCTGAAAGTACATTTAAGGATATTTATTTAAAGTGGCATTAGCTAACGGTACACAGTTCTTTAGAGACTGCTCCAAGCATGTCTACTTGACATTGAATCTATACGTCAGTTGAAAGCTTTATGAAAGGCATGTATATATTTTTGTAATGAAACTTTTTTGATGTTTAACATGATATATAGATATTGAGAATTTTGATTCTTCACAACCAGTCAGGGAATTTTGTGTTAGGTCTATAAGGTAAGCTTTTGCAAATATGGTTACTGAAATTACCTGTTTTATTGCCAGCTTTAGAGACCTTTATAACACATATGGTCCTTAACCTTCTTATGCTCGTGAGCCTATAACTATCCTTTGTGGTCGCCAATCTAAACGTTTATGGCACATCATTACTTAAGTATATTATATAGTGTTCAGTGAAAATCCTTTTTATTACCTGAGGAAAGTGTATGAAGAAATTTTTCATTTGCCAGAACATTATAATAATGATTTTAAAAATTATGTAAATCTTTAACAGTTAAGTAGACAGCTTTTTAAAGATTAAAAAAGTGTCACTATATGCAACATGTACCTTTTATTTATTTATTTATTTATTTATTTTAGTTGGAGTCTCACTCTGTTGCTCAGACTGGAGTACAGTGGCCTCTCCCGGCCACCGCAACCTCGACCTTCCGCCTCAGCCTTCCGAATAGCTGGCATTACAGGCGTGCGCTACCATGCCCAACTAATTTTTTTGATTTTATTGTAGAGATGAGGTCTTGCCTGCCCGCAGGCTCAGGCAATTCACTCACCTCAGCCTCCCAAAGGCGCGGGATTACAGGCTGAGCCACCGAACCCAGCTTGCAACATGTACCTTTTAAAAAAAACTATTAAATATGGAAGCGTATGACATGTTTCAGACTTGTTTACTTGCTTACATACACTCCTAGTCTTTTCTTCCCATTGACGGTGATAACTTACTCTTTCAACTTTGGAGTGGAGACTGTTTGAGTAAATTGTGTGTTTTAAAATCCTTGTTCAAAAACAACTTTAAAAAAAACATTAACAGAAGAGCATCTTTAATCTGTTGTAAAAATCAAGCTCAGACACTTGACAGTAGCATAATTAAAACACATAATTGTCTAAAGACGTTGAGTTTATTTAGTCTTTTGATCTTCGTGGTAGCTTTTTGAAGGAAACGTGACAATCAAACGTCATACATTTTTTCTCTTTGAAGCAGGATAACCAAGCTTATGATGAATTCTGCCTCTATGCTATATTTGTGACTTATAGACATGAGAAATTTTTTTGTATGAGCTCACTATTATTTTCACTTTTAGGATGTCCTTTTGTGGAAAAGAAGATAGGAGAAAAATCAACCTGTACAGCAAAAAGGCTAATAATAGCTAACATTTATTGAATTCTTTCTATATGCCAATCAGTATTTTAAGTACTTTTTACTTATACTGATTTGTTCAGTTTTTCCAATAACCTTGTGAGATACAGTCACTCATTATAATCTCATTTTATAAAAGAGGAAACTGAGGTACAGAGAGGTTAAGTAGCTTACTCAAGGTCATGTAGGTAATAGCACTGAGATTCAAACCTGGGCGCTTGACCAGATAGTTTACTGTATCTGAATCATCACTTAAAGAAAACAGTTATGTAATTATTAAAATTTTTATTTTAGTCATTGTGAATGTGGCATTCTTCCATTGGGTAGGGATTCAATCTCTATTATTTCTAAGATATCCACCAAAGTGATGAAGCATGTGTGCTCATTACCAACCCTTCTCTCCTTCCAGTCTACGTGGAATAGTTCTTACTGCTTGGAGGAGAAAAGAATGGCATGTGAAAAACAGTGTGACATGGATTTTAGTTGCTTCGTTAATTGCTTTACATCCCACTGGGGGCTTAAAGCTTGGCAATAGAGGCATATATTTCCTTGTGTAGACTTGTCTTTATTTTTAGGACTCTAAAATTTCCTATAATGAGCTGTATTAATTTTCTTCTACTCTGAACATTCTCTGTTTCCATAGCATGTTTCGCCAAGGGATGCATGACTTGAAAGTCTGGCCCAATGTAGAAGCAGATGGATCAGAACCCACAAAAACTCCTGGCAGAACAAGTAGCACTCTCTCTGAAGATCAGATGAGCCGCCTTGCCAAGGTAAAAGAGACATTTGGAACAGGTGGAAAGCTCTGAATGATGACTGTTATAGTATACCATGGCATTATGAATTCTGTCAGAGTTTTTTACAAATTTAGATTTAACTTTTTAATAGCAGTTTTATTGAGATATAATTCATCTACCATGAAATTCACTTAAGGAAAGTGTACAGTGTGGTGGTTTGGTAAATTCAGAGTTATGTAATTATCACCACTATATAATTTTAGAATATTTTCATCACCTCTAAAAGAAACCATGCACCATAAGCAGTCGTCATTCCCCATTTCCTCCTCCTCCAAGTTCCTGGGAACTACTGCTTTAATCTACTTTCTATCTCTATGAATTTGCCTATTTTGGATATTTTACGTAAGTGGAATCATACAATATGTGACCTCTTTTGTCTGGAAATGTGTCAGATTTGAACATGTAGAGCTCTTGCCGATATTTTCATGATGTTACTTATTCTGTTGACATAGCCTTAAATATGCAAGTGTTGCATGCTAGAGATGCTTATTTGGAAGTGAAGATTCCTTATACAATTAACTTGTTTAAATTTCTTTCACTACCCCCCTTTTTGTAAGCAGACTAAGTTATTACCTTTTTCTTTCAAAATTGTTTTAATCAAGTATTTTCACTTAGAAATACAAAAACTAAGCTTAATTCTGTGCCTAAATTGCAACACTTTTACTTATTTTGGGACTCTCAGAAAGTATTGTGCTAGGTATGTTTAAAGATATCTTTATAGTTCTCTTGTTAAGAGACTTAATTCCTACATATATTTTTCCACAATCTTATTAGTATGAAAGACTCTCTAATGTCTAGAAAACGTTTTGATCCCAAGTATTTAACAGCTTGTTGCCTTTACTTACATAGGGAAGAAATCTTAATTATAAAGTATCTGCATTAGCTAGGCTTTGTGCTTCAACATAAAATTTTTGTCAAGTTCATGCTGTCTTGTTGTATTGCTATTTTAGGGAAAAATGATGTCATTGTTACCTAATAACTGTATTGACCAATATACTATTGTTAATCTTCCCCCTCCATAATTAAATAAGATTTAATATTCAGTTCATCTATTCATTCTGAGATTTTGTTTGCATTCTCACATGGGATATAGGAAAGTTCTCAAGCTTTTGACTTCACCTTAATGATGAACTTTTATTTAAGCTACTTGCTCTGACTTTTTTTTATAAGCCTTGAATCGTTAATAGAAATTTTACTAGAATCAACTCATTTATAGGCTGTGGGTCATTATAATACGAAAAAGGTTAAATTTCAAGTGCAAGAGGAGTTTAGCAAGTATTGAGGCAGCAAAGGCTCTTAAATTGTCTTTTAAGAGCAGCATTATGATTCATATTATAGATGAAGTTATAAATCTGCAAGAGCTAAGAAATCTAAAGCTATATAGTTGCACCATTTATCTACTTTGTTTCTCTGTTAAACACATTAGTTAGGCTTCTGTTCACATGTTTCTAATTTTTTTCCTAATTATTTTTGCTGGAAGTTTCAAATAATAATTTTTCTAATAACTATGACATATTTTAGACATTAGTGTATGTAGTATAATCATTAGAATTTATATGAATTGGACTTCCAGCTTTTTAATTTAGCATAGCATAATGTTATAGTGTTTATTTCTCATTTTAATCTTTTGGCTTTATAGTTGAAATAAGATGTGACTTGATAATGATCAACTTTTTTATGATTGAAACAGTAACCCTTAAGAGTTATATGGGTGCATGTTTAGTCTTTTCGTTATTTGCACACGTTAGTAACTCTAGAAATGATGACTAAACATACACAGAGCTAAATGAGGTGTTGGGAAGAAGCTTTCTTAATGTTTTTGTTAATTGGTAACAGTCATTGTCAACATTCTATGTAAATTCTTTATATGAGAGTATGGTAAGTGGGTCCTACTTTTTCAAGAGATAGTTATTAGAATTTATGTGCTGTCTGTATTGCCCAGAATGGTTAGCAGTTTTGAGCTAAGTCTTTATTGGTTTGTAAATCTTTAAAATGGGAATAAAAATTGATGAGAATAAGCATCCTACAGTTTTTCTGATGGTAATTGAAGCTGAGCTCTTTCCCACATTCTTTTATCTGTAATAGAATTGCACTTTTAACTTCTGGAGTGGAGACTTCAGAGCTTGCTATGCAGTGACAGCTTGCATTAATGTTAACTTATGTTCCCCAAAGACCATAGCAACTATCAAAACCAGTAATTACTTTTTTTTTTAAGGGAAAAATGTATCCTGTTTGTAACATTGTTAAGGAATTGCTCCCTCTTTGAAGGAAACTTTTTATTTCTTGACATGTGGGGCTAATACTATATTCTATTCTTCCACATACAGCATTTGGCTGTGTTGTCTGAGGTTTCAGAATTGTTATATCTCTACTGTTGGAGAAAAATGTGTTTTCAAAATGATGTCTTAGGTTTGATGAAATAGGGATCGTGAGCACTTGGAAGCACTTTACAATGGGAAGAGCACTGTGCTGAGTCCAGAGTTTTGGCCATCCTACCAACTTGGGGAAAATAATTTTGGAGCCTGCAAAATCAGAAGTTTAAAATGATAATTGCTTAGGTATTTTGTAGCTCTTCATAGTTTATGAATTTAAAAGTACTGACATAGCAGATAATTGGGGTCATTTCTCTACCTGGATTTTATATTTGTCACCTTAGTAGAAAGTAAAATTGTGATTATCAACTTGCAACTATGTACTGTGTTCATGTCATTCCTTTTCTCCTGCAATGCATGTGCTTACAGTAAAGTAGTACATAGGGCTTGCCTAATGTGAAATGGGGCTGTGTGCTTAGGTTTTGTTGTTATTGATTAGTGCCTGCTCTTTACTTAAATGCTTGAGACAGGCTTCCTGAAAACAACTCCTTCCTCACCCAGAGCATGATCCACTTACCTTGCTCTATACCACAGAGAAGATATTTTGATAACTTGTTATGATCTTAACTTAACCACAGAGAGTATACTTACATTTTAAAATTCAAATTACACTTAGATACTTATTTGTTCTTTTTTTTTTTTTTTTTGAGTTGGAGTCTCACTCTGTCGCCCAGACTGGAGTGCAGTGGCCGCTCCCGGCCACTGCAGCCTCCACCTGCTGGGCTCCGGCGATCCTTCCGCCTCAGCCTTCCAAGTAGCCGGAATTACAGGCATGTGCTACCACGCCCGGCTGATTTTTTGGTTTATTGTAGAAATGAGGTCGTGCTGCCCAGGCGGGGCTCAGGCAATCCACTCACCTCAGCCTCCCAAAGCATGGGATTACAGGCTGAGCCACCGAGCCCGGTTCTTATTTGTTCTTAGTTGTGTCACAATAGTGCCTGCTCTTATGTGCATGCACTTTCATGAAAAAAATGTTGTCCATTTAGATTGTTGCTCTCTTTGTCAAAACATTTTGAAATTGTCTTAGCTTAATAAACTTTTAAAAAGTGGGAAAGAATTTGTATGCTGTTTCCATTTTTATACAAGAAGAACAGAGATTGTAGATGTAATGCTTGTTTTTCACATACTGCCATTTTAGGAAAAGAAATGCTTGTTTTTCGCACACTACCATTTTAAGAAAAGAAATGTTCAAATAGATGAGGTTTAACTGAATGGTTTATTTCTTGTTGCACTTTGATTTTCTATACAGTGAATTTACTATGATTGTTTCTTATTGTTGAGAAGGCTGTTGGCTTAAGAGTAAAAAAGTACACATAAATTTTAATAATAACTAAACATGGTTACTATGTATTGTACTCATAAGCCTAAATAAATAGCATCGTGACAATTTTCAAAATGTAATGTAAGAAAGTTTATTCAGTTATAGAACTGCTTCGGTCTTGGTTGCCTAGAGATAATGGGACAAGAAGACTGTGACATGAAGATCAACTATTTAGGTGACTGTGAAAAGATGGTGTTCAATAATTATTAAGCATAGACCTTCAGCTCCAAACTGGACTTATCATTCTTATTCTGTTTTATTGCTCAACTGTGAAAGGTGAATTCTAAGAACAATATGAATAGCTGAAGTTTAAAATTTAAAAGTCTGTTTTCCAAGTTTAACAGTTTAAAAAAGTCAAATCCTTTCTGAATAGTTTTAGTGGAATTAATCTCTCAAATCATTTTACATCATTTTGTGGACTTGCTTAGTTTGCCTTTGAAAAAAAAATGAGTTCAAGAAAAGGAAACAACACTATTTTCCTAAGTTTGGGTCTCATTTTTTATAACTAGGATTTCTTAGACTTCCAGTGGCAACCAGGAAAACATCAATGTATTAAAATATATTCTGCACCCGCCATCTTCTGTATTTTCTTCTCTTTCCCATTTCTAAGTTTCCCTAGTTAATTTTTACTAATACAGTGTCTTTTTGTTTGATTTGACTTGTGAAAATAATAAAAGTTCGGATTTCTGGAGCATTTGCTAAACTTTCCTTGTCCATGACCCAGCCTTTTAATGGTTGTGGGCCTTACGTGCGCAAATTTACCCATTGTTCCCATCTGCTTTGTTTCTCAGCTTGTCGCATTATAAGAGTTTTATGACTAAAATGCATATCCACCTGGGGTTTTGGATGTGACTCCCAAGCTTTAGTGTTTGATTTATATTTGAATTCATGTCTTTAGATATGAAAAGTTAGTGCAGAAGCATGCTTCTCTACTGTCTTCTTTTCATTTTAGCAGCTCTGCTTGATGCCTTTGGAATGTGTTTTAGTTTCTGTCAATTTGATTAAGAGGAGGAAAAGAGAAAGTAACAACTTGATGAAAAATGCTTTGTGGTCTGTGTGACACAGATAGGTTTGGGAGTGTTGAGTAGAGTGTGATGGGTAGGGCTGCTGCAGAGAAGAGGTGGTAAGATGTGGGCTTCAGGCTGAACCTCAGAGTGTCTGTGTGGAGTCACTGAGGTTCAGGGTCCAAATCTCAGGTTTATTGCAGTGAAAGCTGGATTTTTCAAGTTCATTCAGGAGTAATTCATTTCTTGAGAATAGGTTCATGCCAACCACTTCAAAGA